TATATATATACATATCGTGCTTTTTTAAACTTCTACTCGACAAAAAGACACTAAAAATAACTTTTAAATTTTTTTGAAGCTTGGATTGAAAACCTGTTTTCAGATTTGAAATCAGTGATACGAAAGTACTATATAAGATCTGTTAAAAGATCTCCTGCTACTGGGAAAAAAATGTTCCTTAGTGTAATTAAATCAATCAAATTTCAAATCATCCGCTGTTTTTAGAATATCTGGAAAAGGAATTTTCATTTCATCCGTGTACGAAATTGCCATAGTATTTGAATGCGTAAAAATTCTCTCTTTTCAAGGTCGATGCTGTGAGCACCGATGTCGATCGTTGTTTGGCTAGTGCCGAAGCAAACTTTGCATCTTTTTACGCTCCAACTCCCGAATGGAAATTTGTGGAGGATTTTGATTGGCAGCCTATACCTATTACTTCGATTCCTGTTGCCTTAGACAAGGTAAACCCATTAATTCCACACATTAATTTTAACTCTTTATAAGAATTTACTTAAATGATTGACGATATTTTCCTTTGTATCTTTCAGTTTTTAGGAAGTACAAACTGTCCTGCATTTCAGAAGGAGTTAAATAAGGAACTAAACTCACCAACCAATCAAGCATTTAACGCTAAGCACCAAGTACGTCTTTTTAAAGTGGTCTAGTTCTTTATACGTTTCTTAATATCCAGTTCAAATGGTTTCTGTTTTGCTTTTCACGATGAGTCTATAGTTCGTTCACCAGGAGATAGCTCTTGACTCCGCCTTCATCACGTGGTATCCGACGATACTATTTCGCTATTTTTGGGAGAAGGATATGAACAATCCTGAGCAAGGTTGCCATTTGGCGACCGTATGACAAAAACATTTATTTCGCCATCTTTATATGCATTTTTTTTTAACATTAAATGTTTCATAAATTTAATAATATTTCTCTTTTGCGTGAATAGTTTGTCCTTTTTTGAAAAATTTTGCTGGGAAAACAGTTTTTAAAATTTAAAATATATTTAATTAGCTACAGAAACGAAAAGTATAATGGCAGACGATAAAGCGTAGTAAGTGACTGAAAAGTAATTTACTGTTTGTGTTTGGCACGCAATAAGGGTTGTCTTAATTTCAAGTGCATAGATGTTTCTCCTCTTACTCCCACGCTGAAATGAACTCTGCGTCCCAGGAGGTGGAGCTAAGTGCCAACTCTTGATGAACGAACTATACCCTTTTTTTAGATGCAGACATTTAATAAAATAAATAAATACGTAAATAGAAGAAAAAAAAAATATTAATAAAGAATACATGAGCAAACAACAGATATACTGCGATTTACATATATGGTAATAATATATTTCTCAGAACTTACACGAAATAATGCTATCAATTGATTAAGTGTTTAATCTGAAACAAATATGGCTCCCTAACTTCTCATGATAACCCTACTTACTACACTTTATAAGATATATGAAACTATACTTCATCTTATTTAAAAGAGTAGAGTGTGTAATCGAGCAAGATCTATACACTACTTACTTAAATGACTCAGGAATTACTGAACACGGAGGCATTTTCGCTGATACATTTGAATCTCTTGAGACATATATAAATTTTTTATAAATTCATAAAAATTCTAACTCAATCAACATAATATTTTCTTTCCTATGTTTGCTTTTCACAAAGTCAGATTTTTTTTAATATTATAAATAATAATGCATGGTCATGGTATCCCAGTGATTAGAAAATCAGACTCAGCACGGAATGGACGGGGTTAGATCTTCGACTCTGCGAAGACCCAAAGAGCATATTTATGTTTGTAAAAGCTGTTGAATCAAGCATCCTGCGATCGGCTGCTGAACACTAGCGTGGTTGCAAGGATCCCACGCAAGGATCCCAAATTTTTTTGCTTCCCCTTCAGATCTAGGTCTAAATTTAGAAATTGGCCTCACAAATGACTGGTGCTGTCATCTATTAATGGGGTTCTGAGTTAAAACGAACCTACTTTTTTGCGATGCTCTTTGTCAAACGAATGGCGTACCTTCCTAACTTAATTAGCAAAAGGGTAATGGCTGGCGAGATTGGCTTCTCCAAGTGTCATTAGAAACAAAACAACACAGAAACATATTTATGTAATAATGTAATAAGCATCTAACATCTTGAAAAATTTAATCTGTATGTATAATTAAGTTTTGTCCCTCCATACACAAATCTATGAGCTTGTGTACTCGACTAGTTTATATGCCCATTCCAAATTGAACAACAGGCAGCACGAGGAGAAAAAAAGACATAAAGATGCATGCAAGAATGCTATAGGAATCGAACTAGTTACGCCTACGCTTGTAAGAAGACGCTATATCTGGGCAAAAACTTCCTGTTTAATCTCCATTGATAATTTTAAATTTGAAGATTTCAAAAATTGAGTTCAGGTATACCTGAAGTAAACAATAAAGTTTCAAATGCTGAAAAATGTTTTTGAAATATCAAAAGGTATAAAATCACGTCAGGATTATTTCCCCACTTTGTGATCATGTTTAATTCTGCTTTAATTTGTTTGCATTTTGATGTTTTAAAAACAAAAACATTTTTTTAGCAATTGAAACAAATTTACTTTATTCAGGCCTTACCTGAATTCACTTTTTTCTGTATTTCAAATTTTAAATTTCCAGTAGAGGTAAAACAGAATTGGGCCTGAAAAGTTTCTTCTATGGTATAGCCTCCTCATAGGCGTTTGGTGTAATGATAACTCCCTTGTCATTTAGTCATAGTTGGGTTCATAAAATGCAGTACGTACAACTCAAGTCACTTTGTCATGACAATAATGCTCTACTGGAATGTAAAATAGTTTTTTTTTTTAATTTCAGAAGTTGTATAAATATCTTACAAAATATAGTGGAGCTCAAATAACAGATTACCTTTCTGCTCGGGATCTTTACGACGTTTTGTTCATTGAGGTAATACATATTATTATTTCTTGAGTTTTGATCCCTTAATTTTATAATCTAATTCATCAAACATATAAATATAATCTATATTTAATAAGCAAGAAAGGATATCCTTTGAGAAATAACAAATCCATTCATTCAAAAAGTTTATTGTTTGATTCGAAGGATTATTTTAGAGCATTTTATCATTATATAATCTAGTTCCTTTTTTAAGTGTACAAGATGTACAATGCACAAAAAAAAAATAAACGGACCCCCCTAAATTACTTTTGATGTAATGCTCGGATTTTCACATTTTAAAACTCAATCTTAATGGCTCGATCGGGTGAACTCAAATATACTAATTAATTAGTGCAGACGATATTTTAAGTTAAGAAATTCGACACAAAAACGTACTTTCGGTGAATAAACATATCTTTTTTTCGCCGAATTTCTAACCACCAAAATACCCGAAATCTGGGAAATATGGTCCCAATAGTTGCATCAGGAGCGCGGTTCAAAGTTTGGACCCCTTAATGCTATTTTACTTTTTGCTTATTTCGCACTATGGCGAGAAATGTTTAAGAGAATTAGAGAATGTTCACACACAATTATAAAATTCGTTTAGTCAAAGATAATTCTATGCAAAAGGTAACTTTTAGTGAGTATTTACTTTTTTCTTTATTTTGCTTAAGAAAAATCTAAAAAATCTTGAATTTGATATAAAATTTTTTACATCATTATAAAGAATGTATGTTTGCATGGCCATACAAGAAGAATGTATGTTTACATGAATGTATGTTACGTATGAGCAAAATCAATCGAAAAAGTTCTGATGAATTAAAATTCAATAACGTGGCCTTATTGAAATTTGTTTCCTCGGAAACTATTCGGCCGATTGTACCCAAATTTTGTATTTTGATATTTAAAATTGCATTTTTTAATACATTGTTAAAATTTTATACCTCACAATTCAATATTTTTTCAACTTTTATTAAATAAAATAATAAATTAAATAGAATAATAAAAGACAATAAAAAATAATTTAACTGTAAAATATATATACTGGTTATATTTTTTTAAATAAATTATCTTTGATTAAACGAATTTTATAATTGTGTGAGAGTTTTTCAATTCGCTTAGAAAGTTCTCGAGCTCTGGTAAAACACACAAAAAATAAAATTAGCATTAAGAGGTCCAAATTTTTGACCGCTCTCTTGACCAAACTATTGAGACTATATTTACCATATTGTGGCTAACCCCCTATATTTTTAGGCTTAGAAATCCGAATTTGTCGAAGAAAAGACATGTTTATTCAGAGAAAGTGCGTTTTTGCGTCTGATTTCGCAACTTAAAATATCGTCTGCGCTAATTAACTAGCATATTTGAGGTCATTCCCAGGAACCATTAAGATTGAGTCCTAGAACATGAATCATTAGATCAAAAGTTATTCAGGGTGGCCTATTTTTCATTTCGTGCCCTGTACATAAAATAACTTGAAATGCTTGAAATGTTAAACATTTTACGTACTTAACGGAACGTTGAAATAATACTAGAATAATTAATAATAATAATTACTGTGAAGGGTCAAACTGAAAAAGTAAGTTGTTTACAGGGGAAAATTTTAGCACTTCGAATGTAATACGTGAACTAAATAAATGCATGAACTCACTGAATGAATAGTCAACTGAAACTATTAATAGCATTTTTATAGTAATAAACAGTAGTTATTTATAATTTACATTTGTAATTATGATGCTTTGCACTAGCACTTTCATCTCCCTAATAAAACAACTTAACAAGCAATACACTATCAGGTGGTGTGACAAAGTCACCGAAAGACACAATTCGATGAATTCTCTCAACCTTTCCTTCTATATTTATGGAATTTGCGTTATTGAGCTTCTTTAAACTGAAGTATGCAAATTTCTTGCTTCGTTCTTCTTTGTTTCTTGCAAATTTCCTACTTCGTCTTTTATTCTTGTCAGAAGTGACTAATTTTCACATTTATACTGCTTATGGAATTATTTTATTTAGAAATTAAAACCCCTTACTCTGCTAAGCTAGTGAGCCTGTTATTTCGAAATCCAGATCAGTACATAACGTGTTCTGGAACGCAGGAAACGTTATTATGTTCACCCACTTCATGGAGGGTATGAAATTGAATTCCTCATCAATACTTAATTAGAAATAATAATTAGATCTGCGGTTTTTTTTCTGCGAACAGCATTTCTCCCTTTTATTTTAGAGCTGGACTTCTTTTTAAATTACCTAGTTCCTCAAAGCTCTATTTATTCTCTCTATATAAACGTTGAATTATTAACAATTACTGCTGAACACGATTTAATTTGAAATCCAAGGTTTGTTGGTACAGTATGTCGTGATCCTATGCAACATAAAAATCTTGTTTGTGTACAAAATGTTTTTGAATGATTTATAACATAATGAGAATCATGATAATTCAAACATATATGAAAATATCATGACATAAAATGAACTGAAATGACTGAGTTTTGACTCAGTGGAATGACTGGATTTTGAAAATGACTGAAATTTTGATAGTGTAAAATAAAATAACCACAATAACCCAGTTCTAGTGGCAATTTCTCTAACTCTGACTTTCAATTGAGACATTTTCAGAATTTTAAAGGTCTTAAGAAATTTGGGGTGTTCTAGGCACTGGTCAATCAAATGTACATAATGTAATTAAAATAATACATGTACACAATGTAATTATATGTACATAAAATTATGTATATAAATTACATGTATATATATCTTATATAAGTTATGAATATAGTAAAAACAAGGAAAAGGATAAAACGAAATTTTATAAAATAAAGACATAATCTCATCATCAGCTCACACTATTATATCCGAAAAATAGTGCTTTATTATATTGCATTAAAGTAGCCAAAGCAAAACATATCAATATATTAGTGTGAGGAGCACCAAAAAATTAAAACGAAAATAGATCTTATTAAGCAAAAAACTAAACAAAAAATGCGAAGTAAAACAATGAAGCAAAAATGGAAAATGAAAATTTAAGAAAATACAGATTAAAACTCAAAATGTAATATATAAAGCGAGTAGCAAATTGAAATATACTTACACTTACAGGCATTTTTCAAAAATGATTTGAAATTTTTTCATAACAATTTTGCCAGATTACAAAATATGAAAATAGCAGCGTAAATCGAAGTTGAAGGAAATTAACCAATGGTGCGTTCTTACTGAAGTACAGAAGCGCGTGTGTTTTGTCTATTTTAAAAATTATTATTTTTCTTAATTTTCTTCGTTACTCTTTCTTATATATATATATA